GTCAACCTGGACGCTGAGGATCGGCTCCTGTGGATGCTGCTGACAGGGAAGGCCTGGGAGATCCTGGCCTATGTCACCCTGCCAGTGCTCTACCTCCTCATCAAGAAGCACATTAACAGAGCAGTGAGTATTTTGCTGGGTGGTTCCATCCCCTGCATTTCTTGCTCCTTGTTCGGGCAGGAGGTGCTTCACGGCACCGAAATGTCCCTGGGAGAGGCAGTGTCCTATCCAGCAGCACCATCACACAGTGACTTTGCACAAGCAGAATGAAAAAGCCCTTTGAAAACGAGCAGGGGCTGTGGGATGTTAATGAGGGAAATGCTACAGTAAGAATTGAAACAGAATGTGAAGGACAAATTCAGCTTTAATCAGTTTTCTGCAGTTCCTCTTGTACCAAGATTGCAATTCTCAAGCCTCGGTCCTTTCAGTGTCTCCAGTGATAGTTTGTGTTTGTGAATGTTATTTTGTACTGCAGCTCAAAGCTGCGTTTGGGAGCCCAGGCACTGGATGGCTCTGGGCACCACACAGGAGACTCCCTGTCCTGGCAGGGGCTGCAATTCAGAGCTTCAGTTGTTCTGTTCCCTGTGAACACACAGAATCCAGGCATCTAGGACAGCGTTTGCATACCAGACAAACCCAGATGAGAGTGGCAGAAGGAGCTGCACCCAGAGATTCCTTTTCTCTCTGAGCTGGGTTAGGGAAAAAACCTCTTGTGTGGGTAATGTCCTTCTGGAAATTCTGCCTCTGCTTGGGGTGCAGCTGTGGTGGTGTGGGGATGAACACAACCCTGGTTAGGGCAGGAGCCTGCAGATATTTGGAAGAATGAGGTGATCTTCAGCAGCCCTGAGTGTCCAGGGAAGGGAAGGGAAGGGAAGGGAAGGGAAGGGAAGGGTTTGCTGGTGCCTGTCAGCATCACCTGGCACGCAGCAGGCAGGACACGCTGTCCCAGCCTGGGCAGAGACAGCAGCGTGACCTCCTGGAAACCTGACCCGGCTCCTGCTGTGCCAGGGACTGCTGGGCACGCTGCTGTCCCTGCCCGGTGCTGGGGACAGTGCTGGGGACAGTGCTGGGGGGCAGCTGGCCCCCTTCTCACCTCGGGTTGGGGCAGCACAGGGAGCCTCCCGCAGTCACCGCTTGGAATTGCTGTCCCCAAAGGCAGAGGGGGCTGCTGGAATTGCTGTCCCCAAAGGCAGAGGGGGCTGCTGGAATTGCTGTCCCCAAAGGCAGGGCGCGGCTGCTGCTCCTCACTGCAGCCCTGCTCCCTCCTGAGGGCTTCCCTTGCTCTGGGGAGGGGTCCTGGGGCTGTCCCCTGTGTGCAGGCTGCTGCTCACGCCCTGTCCCCTCGCTGTCCCCGTCCTGTCCCCTGCAGCACGCCGCCCTCTCCGAGTATCGCCCCATCCTGCCCGGGCCCCCGGCCCTGCAGCCCCGCTCCAGCGTGGCGGACAAGAAGCTGATCCTCATCCCCGTCATCTTCATCTTCCTCCGCATCTGGAGCACCGTGCGCTTCGTGCTGACCCTCTGCAACTCCCCTGCCGTGCAGAACTCCGTCCTGGTTGTCCTGCACGTGAGTGTTCGCTGGGAATGCAGCCCGGGGCGCTGGGCTGGGGCAGGGGGCGTTTGGGGTCCCCGCTGTCGCTTTTCGTGGTGGCACCGAGTGTTGCAGGAGCGCCTGCTCCCCTCAGAGCTGCAGGGAGCAGAAATGCAGCAGGAGCTGCTCCAGCAGCATCTAGTGGCTGCAGAGGAAAGCTGCACTGGCAGGGATGGCCAGGGGACAGGGATGGCCAGGGATGGCAGGGATGGACAGGGATGGCATGGGGACAGGGATGGCCAGGGATGGCCAGGGGACAGGGATGGCAGGGATGGCTAGGGGACAGGGAAGGCATGGGGACAGGGATGGACAGGGATGGACAGGGATGGCAGGGATGGACAGCCCTGCGGGCAGTGTTGGGTGTCTGTCCTCCAGCAGGGCTCAGCCTCTCCTGCCCTACACCAGTGCCAGCACACAACAGCCCCGGGGCTGCTTTTGGGTGCTTTTTGGGGAAAAAACCACTCATTTTTCTGAATTCCTTGTTCTCAGAGTCAGTGGCTGCCAGCACTGCAGCTGCTCCTGTGCCAGCGCTGCAGCTGCTCCTGTGGCTGTCAGCACTGCAGCTGCTCCTGTGCCAGCGCTGCAGCTGCCCTGGCAGCGTTTGCTCTCCTCTGGGGTGCCCTGGCAGCAGCCCTGGGTGATTGCTGTGCTGCCCTTGCAGGGCATTGGGAACACGTTCCAAGGAGGAGCCAACTGCATCATGTTCGTGCTGTGCACGCGGGCGGTGCGCGCCCGGCTGCTGGCCCTGCTCTGCTGTCACCCGCCGGCCTGGCCTGGCCAGGGGTCCCCCGGCTCCCGGCAGCACCCACAGCCCCACAGGGATGGGGACAAGGACAAGGACAAGGAGAAGGACGTGCCTGGCCCCGGGCAGACGAAGCCGCTGCTCCCCAGCACCTGAGCTGGCCCCGGCTGCTGCTGGTTCCTCCTCTCATGGTAAAATCCCAGTGAGCCTTTCCTGCTGCCTGGGCTGCCCTGGGAGGGTGGGAGCGGGGACAGTCACAGGGGACAGGGAGCAGGGGACAGGGAAAAGGAGCAGGGACAGGGGGCAGTCACAGGGAGCAGGGGACAGTCACAGGGGACAGGGACAAGGGAGCAGTCACAGGGAGCAGGGACAGGGGACAGGGAGAGGGGACAAGGACAGGGAGCAGGGACAGGGGACAAGGACAGGGAGAGGGGACAGGGGACAGGGAGCAGTCACAGAGGACAGGGAGCAGTCACAGAGGGCAGAGAGAGGGGACAGGGACAGGGGACAAGGACAGGGAGCAGGGACAGGGGACAGGGAGAGGGGACAAGGACAGGGAGCAGGGACAGGGGACAAGGACAGGGAGAGGGGACAGGAAGGAGGGAGAGGGGACAGGGAGCATTCACAGGGGGCATTCACAGGGGACAGGGGACAGGGAGCAGTCACAGGGGACAGGGAGCAGCGACAGGGGACAGGGAGAGGGGACAGGGAAAAGGAGCAGGGACAGGGGACAGTCACAGGGGACAGGGAGCAGTCACAGGGGAGAGGGGACAGTCACAGGGGACAGGGGGCAGTCACAGGGGAGAGGGGACAGTCACAGGGGACAGTGCCAGGGGGTTCTGCTGCTGCCCTGGGCGTTCCCTGTCTGACTCTGCAGCCCCATCACGCTCCCAAACCCTTCACAGAAGTCTCTGCTCCCTCCCCGAGCTGCCCCTCGGGTCTCTAGGAGGACCAAAGGAGGAACTGAGCTGCAGGGCCCACAGGGACAGGGCACCACAGGGCTCAGGAGGAACTGGTGGCTCTTCCTAATGGGAAATGCCACGTGCACACACATTTTGTCAGTGTGCACAGATCAGATGTTTGGTGCCCCGAGTTCCCCCCACAAAGGGATACCTCTGCTCTTTCCTGAAGCCTTGGCATTCACTTCATCATTACATTAGTGTATTCAACCCCCAATGGGCACAGAGTAAACACTCCTGAGCCTGTTTCATGGCTGGCTCTGCTCCTCAGCCCCCCTGGAGCCTTTGAAAGGTAGATGGAAGCATCTTATCTGTGCCATGGATGACTTCAAGAGTTGTTTTTTCTCCTTTCAAAAGGCTTTTAAAAACTTCTGAAAGCTAAATAGCAACCTTGCTAGCTCAACCTCTTGTGAGTCCCACAAGGCTTGCAAGGAGGAGATGTGTTAAACTTCTTGCAGAAAGGGAGGATAGAAATGTTTAAATTTTATGAGACTTGGTATCCTGCTGTGTTCAGTTTTATTTGGAGCCAGCCCTGAAGACAGAAAGAAGAATTGTCACCAGCTTGGCTTAAGGGGAAACAAAACAGCAGGAAAAACAACACCAAAAAGAATCAAAACAGATTCCGTGTCCTCAGTTTGCCTTTTTCCATTACAGAGCTCTGAGAAATGCTTTTGGAGGAGTGGGCCAGGGTTACATTTCAGCTCCAGGGGGGTGACTGTCCCTGCCCCTGTCCCCGCAGGTGCAGGGTGCTGGCACAGCCCTGCAGTGACTGTCCCTGTCCCTGCAGTGTGACTGTCCCTGTCCCTGCAGTGACTGTCACTGTCCCTGCAGTGTCCCTGTCCCTGTCCCTGCAGTGTGACTGTCCCTGTCCCTGCAGTGACTGTCGCTGTCCCCGCAGGTGCAGGGCGCTGGCACAGCCCTGCAGTGTCCCTGTCGCTGTCCCCGCAGGTGCAGGGCGCTGGCACAGCCCCACAGAGGGAGCTGCAGCCCGGGGAAAGCGGCGCTGGAGATGCCGAGCCCTGCACAGGCTCTCGGCTGCCGGGATGCTCCGGAGCAGGCTGCGCCCCGTTATCTCCCCTCCCTCCCTCCCTCACCTGCACCGGCAGTCTGAGCGCTCCTTTGGCTCTCGCTTTTGTGCCTGCTGAGCTGTGAGGTGAGCAAAGCCCCGGGCAGGCTGCAGGAGCTGCTGGAAGGGCCGAGCAGGGCTGTCCTGCAGGGAGCTGCAGCCTGCCTCTGAGCTGGGACAGCAACGCGGTGCTGATGGCTGGACGGTGCCTCTGCGTGGTTTCCCCTCCTCCCTGGCGTTTCGGGGCTGTCACCGCCGGGTGTGTGGGGGTTCTGCTGAGGGAGTGAGGGCCCTGCAGGCTGTGGGTGCCCCAGGCTCCCCGGGGACAGCCCCTGCCCTGCAGGACAGAGCCCGGCTCCGAGCTCTGCGCCTTGCCGCCGCCGGGTCACGCTGGGGAGGGCTGGGGCTCCGTGTGCCCTCTGGGGATGATAACGTTTTACCTCATTCACAGCTCCTCACTTGTGGTTTTTAAAGTATTTACTCCGACGTTTACAAAATAAAGTTTGGTTTCTTTACCAGGGCAGTGGCCAGCGTTGCGTTTGTGCAGCACAAACAGATCTGGCTCTTGGTCCCAGAGCCCAGCTCTGCTGCTGTCCCTGCAGAGCCCTCATGGATCCAGCCCTGTCCTTTTGCTGGGCACCAGACCCAAATCCCCCTCTCCTTGTTGGACTGGAAGCCACTGGGACAGCTGATAAACAGGGTCTGGGTGTGATTTATTTTCAGGCAGATCATTAATTCCTGAAATCTTTGTTTCACCTCAAGTCCCGTTGTAGCTCAGGGGCCCAGAATGTTGAATCAGCCTTGTCTGAGCATGCAATTCCTTCCCAAAATGCAGGTGGGAAGGTGTCACCGTGGATATATTCTGTGGGATGTCTCCTCAGGGTGGGCACTGCCATGAGCACCCTGCAGCAGGGCTGGCTGCCAGCTCCTGCTCAAACATCACATTTTAGAGCTCACCACTAAGTTCTCCAGCACATTTACTGTCCTGCAAACTAAGTTTGCCCTCTTCATCATTTTTTTTTCCCTAAAGATATCAGGGTTTCACAGGATCCAGCCTTGAGCACAGAATAGGCTGAGGGTAAATAAATCCCTGCACACCACGAGCTGGGTGAGGGCAGGGGAGACACAGAGGGAACATCCCCAGGCACACGTGCAGATGTAGAACCTGGGGATGTGCTGCAGCTGAAATGTGTAAATGCCTGTAAAACCAGCTCTTTGCTCGTTCCTGGCTCTGTCCTTTGCCAAGTCCAGCAGGCTCCCAGCTGCTGAAGATGTCACACCCCTGCAGCCACTTTGAAAACCCAAGAAGTTGATTTACTGTCCTGTCTCCCTTCACCAAGCTCCTCCAAGATCACCCCAGTGCCAATTACAACCACAGAGATGTTGTTGCCACGCTCCTGCTGTGCTTGGAAAATATCCCAACTGTTCTGCTGCCATAAGCTAATGTTTACTCTGATGAAGGGGTTTTGATGACAAACATGTGTGTTCTCTTTGATTCCTGTATGTTTCAAGATCATTTCTTCAAGTTCAGGAACAGAGTTTAAAGACCATGACAGAGAATTCTGCTTCCCTGCATTGAGTGTCAGAGCAGCTGTCATTCTGCCAAGAGCTCCCAGAGGCCAATACTCCTTTGAAGGACTGGAATTCCATGATGGAAATTTGCCCTCTTTGCAGTTTCCCCAACTCTGGGGCAGAATTTTCCCTCTTGGCTTAAGATGAAGGTGAGGGACCAGGAGCTGTGGCACAGGAGCATGACCCCCGTCAAGACACCTGGGAACTGTGCCTGCACTGGGAGAAATGCACCAAAGGAGAGAAGGCCAGGATCTGGGACTGAATCCTCCACGTGAGAGCAGCAGGGCTCTGCTCTTCTGTCGGGGTTGCTGTTATTTGGCTCTGCCCCCTCTGACACAGGAAAAGTGGTTCTGGGTGGCCGCGGTTTCGAAGGATGAGTTTGGACTCTCAGGTTTTCGGTCTTCAATCTTGTTTGTTAATTCTTATCTACAATGTTTTTCTCTCTGCCCAGCCGAGGTCTGTTCAGCAGGAGAGCCGAGTGCACTCTCCCCTGCCCATGGGATGGTTGTGTCCTTTATAGTGAAAATTACGTATATCACATTTACCTTTAATTCCCAATACTTTTCACCCTTATAGACAAGTGTACCTTCACCATGAACCAATCCAAAAGTGCCAACATCACCACAGAAAATGGAAGACATGAAGAAGAAAGAAGAACCCAGGACTACGTCCTGAATCCTCCATCTTTTCTTCATGACCCCCCCGTACCTACTTTTCTAAAATCTATATTTCATCCCATAAATACACTGCTCACACCCTAGAACTTCTCATTTCCTCGCACACAGATATTTCATCTCTAGATGGATCAAAGTCAAGCCACCAGACACTTTTGGCAACACTCCAAGGTCTCCGAGCCCCCCAAGGGTTCTCTCGGTGACTCTGGACTTTCAGAGTGATGTGTTGAGTTCCCCACTCTCCCTGCTGCATTGGAGCACGCTGCTGCCACGTGCAGCAGGCAATGCTGCAGCCAGCCAGGGAGCCTGTGCAGGGCACGTGGCACCGAGGTGTTGCTCAAGAGATGCCTTTTTTTTTCTCCTGAACCGCCTGATAAAAATAAACAGACCAACAACCAGCAGGTTTTGTTCTAGTTTATCCGGCTGCTGTGAACTTTGCATTTCTGTGATAAACTCGGGAGTTGTAGTGGATGATTAACCAGGCGCTGGGCTCTTAAAGGATCCCGTAACAGAGGGGGTTAACAGCCAGCCAGCAGCACGAGGTGCTCCTCCTGCATGGAGAGGGAGAGGACCTGCTCTGGAGGAGACAGCTCTGGCAGGATGAGCTCTGGGGACTGCAGCAGTGCCTGAGGCAGGAAAGTCCCTGCAAGGTAGGAAAGGAGCAGCCTTGTGCAATTTTGGGGGGCAGAGCTGTGCAGTTTCTCTGCAGGGGGGTCAGTGGGGTCCAGCTGCAGTGCTGTGGCTCAGGGCAAACCCTCTGTTGGCAGGGCTGCTCCCCACGTTCCCTGGTGCTGGGCAGCACCTCTGGCTGTGCCTCCCCCAGGAGCTGCAGCTCCCTGGGCTCTCCTTGTCCAAATGTCCAGATACTGGGGCAAACTGGCTCATTGTACCAGCTTGGGTGAAAGCCTGCCCCTTCTTCCTGGAGAGATGAGCTGTGCCCCCTCTCACTGGGCAGCATCACGAGACAGGGTCTGCTAAGAGAACATCTGTCACTGGCAGCAGAGTTGGAAGAAAATGAAATCGCAGCAGAGGAAGGGGAGGATCACTCACAGTGCCTCACCCCGGCTGACAGAGCCTGCAAGTGTTTGGAAGAGTCACAGAAGGGTTTTTTTTTTTCTGTGCAGGGTGTCCCCATGCCCCTGTGACCGGAGGAAGCTGCGCTCAGCACCTGTGACCCCGGGGCAGCATGAAGCTGCAAGGAGGGCAGCGGGGCAGCTCCGAGGGCACTGCAGGTGCCAGGGGGGTGAGTATGCTGCCTGCTGCTTCCAGCTCCCACGGGGATGCAGGACAGCCCTGGGCACCTGTGGGTACCTGCAAAGAGAGGAAAAGACCCTGAGCTTTCGGGCTGAGGTGTTTCTGTTGAGCCCAGTTTGTGTCTGTGTCGCACTGAGTGATTGTCTGCAGCTCTCCCACTTTTGAGTGACTTTTTCTTTCTGTGTGACTTTTTCCTTCTGTGTGACTTTTCTGTGTGACTTTCCCCTTCTGTGTGGGTTTTCTTTCCTATTTTCTGATCAGTTTTAGGCTGCAGATGCTTCTGGATGGGGCTGCCTTTGGCAGCAGTGTCGGGCAGTCTTGCACAAGGCACTGCTGGGCAATGCCAGGGGTTTTCTTGAGAGTGCTGGATGTCAATAATTAACACCAGCGGCTCTTTGGAGCTCCTGGGATTTGGTTCATGAGAGCAAGGCAGCTGCTTCTCTTCACCAATGGGAGAATGTCAGCAGTCTCCTCCCAAAAAACGGACCTGGCAGCCTGAGCTTCCTTCCAATCCTTAGGCTGAGACAGACTTGAATTTTGATCTCCTGTAACACCTTAAACTCTGCAGATCCCTGGAGCTGAGCTGCCGGAGATCCTGAGGAATAGAAAGGAGCACCAGCAGCTATTTGGACAAATGTTCAATTAGGGAAGTGGCAGAGTCCTCATGTGGGACCTGAGCTGAGTGCTGGGAAGGAAAACCTCGCAGACATTAAGGCCATTAAGGCTGGTGACGGTGGCAGCAAACGGGATTAAAATGAAAAATGACTTTATTGATGTGGCAGCAGTGAGATGCATTAGCGAGCTATAAAACCCAGCCGAACAAAACCCCAGCAAGGCAGCTCTGTCAACACAGCCCGGGGGCTGAAGTGCAGCTAAACTGTTGGGAAAATCGAGTTCTTCTGGTTGTTTGCGACCCCGGGGAATGTGTGCCCACAACGGGTGTTGATCCCCTCCAGAAGGCAATTCCTCTCCTCTGCTCTAGTGCAAAGGGCAGCTCTTGCACCCCTCAGCCTGGATAAATTCTAATTGGCTTCAGTGGCAATCAGTTAGATCCATAAATAGCTCTATCCCAAAATGCAGAGGAAGAAAAAACGAACAGGAAAGGGATTTGGCCACTTAATGCAAAAATCACTTCTTTTTAAAGCTTTCCTCTGCCAATATCCTGTGTTATTGCACTGCCCAATTTGCACATTGGAAAAGAATAATTGCATACAACCTTTTTCCCTGCAGGGTGCTGTTTTAAGAACGGTAACTTGAAAAAAAAAAAAAATAATCCTCCAAATGATTCATCAATACCAGCAAAGCAGAGTGAATTACTCTAATGACGTTGGGCATACCAAGCAGAACAAAATGAGCTGTAATGGAAACAACCCATTGGCTTTTATATGCAGCAAAATGAAGGCAAAAACACAGAAAACAAGACTTTGTGTGCTTCATTGTTTTTACTGAATGTTATTAATGCCTAAGAGCCAGACCCACTTCCAAGGAGGTGTTCATGGGGTTTTTTTTCTGTCCCTCTGCAGAAAATGACACTTCCCCTGGCCCTGGTGGCTCTGATTTCTGCCTTTGGCTCTTCCTTCCAGTACGGCTACAACGTGTCTGTGATCAACTCTCCTGCCTCGGTGAGTAGAGCAGAGGCAGGCAGATGAAATTCAGTGGAAATTCAATGTACCTTGGGGGTGTCTGTGGGCAGGGGCTTGTCCCCTCTGTGCTCTGGGAGCCAGGCACATCCCGCAGGAACACAGGCTTCTCCATCCTCCTGCACCCCAGCCTTCTCCATCCCTCTCTCGCATTCATTTCCCAGCTCACCCACTCTGGTTTTTCCCCAGGACAGTTGTTTTATGGCAGAGCTTTATGGCAGCAGTTGTTATCTAACCCTCCCAGCAGGGAAATGGCACTCACTGCGCCAAATCTGCTCTGTGCTTCCTTCCAGTACATGCAAGACTTTTACAACAGGACCTACCTGGACAGGACTGGAGTGCCCATGGACAGAGGCTTCCAGACGCTGCTCTGGTCTCTCACCGTGTCCATGTTCCCTCTGGGTGGCCTCTTTGGGTCACTCATGGTGTGGCCCATGGTCAACAACTGTGGCCGGTAGGTGAGAGCCCTGTCTGGGGCCCTGCCCTCACTTTGGGAGCTGGTAACTTTTAGCATTTGAGCAGATAACATTTAATATTTGAGCAGATAACATTTAGCATGTGAGCAGGTAACATCTAGCATTTGAGCAGGTAACATTTAATATTAGGGCAGGTAACATCTAGCACTTGAGCAGGTAACATTTAATATTGGGGCAGGTAACATCTAGCACTTGAGCAGGTAACATTTAATATTAAGGCAGGTAACATCTAGCACTTGAGCAGGTAACATTTAGCTCCTGCTGGCTCCACCTTGCCCAGCCCTTCAGCTGCCCGAAATTCCCCCTCACACCTTGAGGCTGAAGCAGGTGGGACAGGGAGAGCTGCTGGGCTCTCCTTCCCCCCAGGGTGAAGGAATTTATGGGGTTCTGCTGTGGCCAGGGCTGTGGGCTGGGCGCTGAGGCAGTGGGGAAGGAAAGTCCTGGGGTCTCAGATCAGGCCCAGCTTCTGCTGCTCAGGTTTCCTGAGAAACTTCACTTCTTCCTGGAAGCCTTCATTGCCTGCAGGAAAAACGTGGCCATTGCCATTTCCTCCTTGATCAGCGTTTGGCATGATGGTTAATTTGAGTTTTGGACAGCAGGGCACAGAGGGGATCTTTCTGCAACTCAGAAATGCCCGGCTGAATCTCCCTCTCCTCCTGTTACTGCAGGAAGGGCACTTTGCTGATAAATAACCTCTTTTCCATCGCTGCTGCAGTCCTTATGGGAACCTCAGAGCTGGCAAAAACCTTTGAAGTAATCATCATTTCCCGTGTTGTCATGGGAATATTTGCTGGTAAGTGGATGGTAAAGGGAGAGCAATAAATATTTCTCTGGCTGTGTAAAGGTGTTTTATTCTCCCAGCAGATGTTTTCACAGGTATCACACTCTGGAATCTGCATGACAAGGCTGTGCTTTAGCCCGGTGCAGAAGTACTAAAGATCTTTGGGAGATAATGGCCCTGGGACTGGAATTTAGGGAGGAGATGTGTGTCTGTGAATGCAGCAATAAACATCTGCTGGGCACTGCAGCTCCAGACCTGCTGAGGATAATCTGTTTTCCCAGACAACTTAAAGCAGATAGTCTGCTTCTTTCCTTTTCAACATAACCAGAATAATCCATCAAAAGCATTGCCAGATCCAACAATCCAGTGCTGGAACTGACTGTTCTTCCTGCAGGAGAAAAGCAATGTTAAAAGGGAGAGCAAAGGGCTCAGAGGCACTGGATTTCCTGCAGGGAGAGAGGGAAGCCAAGGATATCTGAGTGTTCCTGGTGTGAGTGGCTGCACTGGAGCTGCAGGAACAGAACAGAACCATGCTGGGCACCCTGAGCACAGCCAGGGCTGTAAGGGTCCTAAGAGCATTTAGGCTCAATTAATTGGCTTTGGGCTGGTGAGACTGGCACACTCCATGGTTTGTTAATGAGCTGGGGTAGCTTGTAAAAACAAATTTCCTGCCTTAGCTGGCCAATTGTATTTGCTGCATGTACAGATCAAGTTGTTTTCCCGAGGCAGTTTCTTGTTTTCCATTTTTTCTTTTTTTTTAAGCCAATGGTTTTACTTTGGCTTTTGACTCCCTTAAACCTGGCAGCTGCTCTCAGCACTGGAGCTTGGAATAAATGCTAAGGGTCTTGTTAAATGTGATCCCTCTGTGCAGTTATTTATAACCAAGAAATCCAGCCTGGCTGCCCTGGCTTGTCCTTCTCAGGCTGGCCTGGCCTGAACTGTGCCTGGGGAGGATCTGGGGGATCCCAGGCAGTGTCACCCTCTGGCACTGGTGGCACTTGTTTCTGTGCCTTTTAGGCCTTCCAGCTTTCAAATATCAGCCTGATCACCTTGGTAACACGGGGCTCCTGAAGCCTAGGGGCTCTAGAAATGTCAGGGAAGAGTTCCCTGCGGTCATTTGATTCCAGGAGTTGGGAGCTGCCAGGATTTGCAGCGTGAGCACAGGAGCTGGCAGCTCGCTGGGGTCACTGTGGGCAGCCCTAGAATGTTCCTAAAAATAACCCACGTCCCTGCTGCCCTTATTAGAGCATAAATACCTATTCCAGCAAGCCACCTGCAAGACATCACAGAGCAGCAAAGCTCTCAGCACAGCCTGACTGAGCAGGGAAGTTTTAAAAGCCAACACAAAGTCATTTCCTTCCACTTTCACACCAGCGTGTCTGGATACTGATTTCTCTTCTTGTTTTAGAGGAAGCAAAAAGTTCCTCTCTTCTATTTGGAGTTTGTTTCCAAACCTGAAGCAGCACAGTTTTTCTTTGTGTGTCTTGTGCTCTTCCTGGCAGAGCCTGCTGGGAGAAAGCTGCATTCAGGAGGATGAACTCTGAACACTCAAACCAAGACACCCCCAAATCATCTGCTGGCTCTGTGGGCAAGGCAGGCTCCTGCCAATCCTGTCGGACTCCAAAAGTGCTTTGCTGCCCAGCAGCTGATAACCCAGACACTCAAAGCAGAAGGGGTTGAGTGTGGAGTTTCTGTGCACCCTGTGGTTCATCAGGAATCTCTTTTGCTGCCCGTGGGAAATCAGCAGCTTGCTGAAGGCTGAGCTGCATGTCTAACACTGTTCTCAACTTCTAGGTCTGGCTTCCAACGTGGTTCCTATGTTCCTTGGAGAAATGTCCCCCAAAAACCTGAGAGGAGCTGTTGGGGTGGTGCCACAGCTCTTCATCACCATTGGCATCCTTGCAGCTCAGGTCCTTGGTCTCAACAGCATCCTTGGGAATGCTGAAGGTAAAGATCTGGCTCAGGCCCCTCCAGGGCTCCTCGGGGGGAGGATTTCTCTCAGCTGACGTGCTGTGCCCTTGCTGCAGGCTGGCCTGTGCTGCTGGGGCTCACTGGCATCCCGTCCCTGATCCAGCTCCTGACACTGCCCTTTTTCCCCGAGAGTCCCAGGTACCTGCTCATCCAAAAGGGCAACGAAGAGCAGGCACGGAGAGGTACAGTGCCCCCCTCCCTGGCAGGGAGCTGGCAGGGGATGGCTCTGCCCGTGGGACAGGCTGGCAGGGAGCTGGCAGCATCAGGGTGGCAGGGGATGGGTCTGCCCCTGGGACAGGCTGGCAGGGGAGGGGTCTGCCTGTGGGACAGGCTGGCAGGGGATGGGTCTGCCCGTGGGACAGGCTGGCAGCACCAGGCTGGCAGATTCTCCACCTCTGTGCTGCTGGGGGTGGAATTCTCAGGACACTGCTCCTTTCCCTGGGTGTGTGGATCCCCAGGTGCCCACCACGGGACCTCAGCTGCCCAGGGTCACACCCTGCTCTGTCCTGGTCTAAGCAGGACAGCTCTCTGTAAACCTGGGGCTCACAGCTCCCTGTGCTCTCCCCACCAGCTCTGCAGAGGCTGAGGGGCTGGGAGGACGTGGATGATGAGATACAAGAGATGTACCAGGAGAACCAGTCAGAGAAGGAGGAAGGGCAGTTCTCTGTGCTCAGCCTGTTCACCTTCAGGGGCCTGAGGTGGCAGCTCATCTCCATCATCGTCATGATGGCAGGCCAGCAGCTCTCGGGGGTCAATGGGGTGAGTGGGGAAGGCTGGGGGGCACAAACAAGGGCTGGAACTCCAGAGGGTGCTGGGGACAGACCCCTGGCAGTGCCCCTGCCCCCAGTGTCACACGGGGCTGGGTCAGCCCTGGCCAGTACCAAATCCATGGACAAGGTGCAGGGTCAGGTGTCCTGTTAATGATCACTGGAGTGTGTCTAGAGCAAAGAGCTCGTGCCCACATCCAAACCAGTGTCTCCAGAGATGGACAAATTCCATCCTCGGGCTTCTGTGCACCAGTGCCAGGATTTAAAGCAGCCAAAAGGGGCTCCCCAGGCTCTGCCTTGGGCCATGCATTAACACAGCTGTGGTTCTGCTGCAGGTCTTCTACTATGCAGACAGAATCTTCGAGTCAGCAGGGGTGCACAGCAGCAGCATCCAGTATGTCACCGTGTCAATAGGTGCCATCAACGTGGTCATGACTCTGCTGGCTGTAAGTTTGTGCTGGGGCTCTCTGAGCTCTCCTTGCCCACTGTCCCCTGTTTAAATTAGGTTGTGCTCATGGAATCTGACTCACAGAATGGTTTGGGTTGGAAGGGACCTTAGAGATCACCTCATCCCAAAAACCTTCCACTGGAGCGTTATTTGCACACACTGGGAGGTGTTTTCCATGACAGATGTCTTGGGGTGTCCCTTGGACAAAAACATCTGCAACAGGGGTGTCTGCCCCTCTCCCCTCTCCTGTCTCCTCCAGGTTTTCATTGTGGAATCCCTGGGGAGGAGGATCCTTCTCCTGGCTGGCTTCGTGCTGTGCTCTGCCTCCTGTGCAATCTTAACTCTGGCCCTCAATCTCCAGGTGTGTATGAATGGCTCAGCTGGTCCCTCCCATGATTTCTGGACTTTCCAGAACAGGCCATTGGAATATTTTGAGGATGTTTCTACACCCTGGGAAGGAGGGGTCAGCGTGAGAGTCTCTGTACTTGCATGTCTGCTTTAAAGAAAGGCTGTGATGCTGCATGCTCCCCCCAGGATGTCATGTTCCCAGTTCCTGCTGCATCAGGACCCCTTGGCAGCAAGGATCACAGCCAGGCTGTGCTGTCTGTGTCTGACTGGCACTGAAGGGTGGCACTGCCTTGGAATGCCTTCAGATCTTGTGGGAACAGTGCCTTGGTGATGTTCAGGCAGGAAGCAGCCCTAACCTGTGATTCAACCCTTGCAGACCACTGTCTCCTGGATGTCCTACCTCAGCATAGTCTGTGTCATTGCCTACATCATTGGACATGCCATTGGACCCAGTAAGTGCCCACAGCCTCCCCCACCAGCTGGGTAAAGGTGTTGGCTTCAATTTCCGACCAAAACCTCTGTGGAGCTCATCCAGGGAGGCTGAATTTCATCTCTGTGTGGCCATGCCCCGTGCAAGTCATTTAATTGCCTCGTTTTTTCCTTTAAATTTAATCCTTTTTTGGCTTACTGATAGTTGAAACCACTGTCTGCCACTGAAGTGAGCAGTCTAACTAGGAACTGAGGGTGAGGGGATTGCCTCTGGGGTGTCCCCACCTGCAGGTCCCATTCCTGCTGTGATGATCACGGAGATGTTCCTGCAGTCGTCCCGACCCGCGGCGTTCATGGTGGGGGGCTCCGTGCACTGGCTCAGCAACTTCACCGTGGGGCTGGTGTTCCTCTACATGGAGGTAAGAGCCCACCACAGGGCAAAACTTGGGCTGCACAGCAGCTTCTTCCCCCCTGTGTTCTTACAGAGAGGCTCTGAGGAGTGTAAATGCATTTGTTGGTTCCCAAAAGCCATGTGTGGGATGGTGTTACAGGCAGGAGACTGATGATTCTCAGCATTTCTTCATCACACCTGGCTCTTGCACAGGCTTTAAAAGAAAGCAGTTTGAGTGCCAGGTCTCATCCTGAGCTCAGGAGCTTGGTAAAGATGGCAAATTCCCCATCTGCCACTGCAGGGTGTCCTTGAGGGAACAATTTTAGGTTCTGAGATCTGGGAGCCTGGTTAAACTGCCCCCAGCAGCAGTGACCATGAACTGCTGCAGCCCCTGACTTCACCCTGGGCAGAGGCAGCTGCTGAGTTTCGTGTGAGTTATGGAGCAGACCCTCAGCCTCCTCTCCCAGGAAGTCTCCAACAAACCCGAGGTGCTGGTTTGGGAAGACAGAATCTAAAACCACCCCAGCTTTGAGCCGTTCAGGTTAAAACACGAGCACCTCACCGTGGCAGCATTTCCCACAGCCAGTGCAGGTAACTCCCAGCTGGAATGCTGCCCTGACCCCTGCTCTGTCCTGTCACTGCCCTAGGCTGGGCTGGGGCCCTACAGCTTCCTCATCTTCTGTGCCATCTGCGTCGCCACCGTGCTCTACATCTTCTTTATTGTTCCTGAGACCAAGAATAAAACCTTCATGGAAATCAACAGGATCATGGCCAAGAGGAACAAAGTGGAGGTTCAGGAAAGCAAAGAGCTTAAAGATTCCTACCCCCTGAGCAGGCCAGAAGAGAAGAAGTGGCTCTCCAGCAGTGAGATGTGACCCAGCTGTGTTTGGCCTGACAGGATCTGTTCAGCAGGAAAACAAATGCAGGGATTCCTCCTTTGATGCTGACCTGACAATCACGGAACTGCTAAGGCTGGAAAAGACATTTAGCATCAAATCCAACTGCAAACCCAGCGCTGCCAAGTCCTCCTCTTGTTCCAAGGAAAAGGAAATGTCCTCAGCCAGCTCAGTCCTGTGACCAAGTAGCCGGTGGCACGAGCTGATGTGTGTCCCTGGTGTCCTGGTGACACATCCAGGGGACACAAGCCAGCCCTTGGGCTGGGTGTGGGGCAGTGGTGTGCAAGGAGTGCACTAAACTCCTCTGAGGAACTGTCACTCGTGTGTTTGAGGGTCCAGCAAGGGGAAATTAAATTCAATTTGGTATATCAGCATGCTGCCCTCTGTTTTGAAAAAAGCAGAACCGTTGAGCAGCTTGGCATGGATCTTGTGCAGTAGATGGAGAATCCTTCACATGATTTACTTTAACCTTAGCAAATCAGTGTATCTATACAACATACCTGTGCTCAAGTTTGTGATATATAAGTGTTGAAAAAGGCACTGTTTCTGTGCTCTGTCTCTACATCCACTGCAGAAAAGAAGGCAAAGTTGTGCCATAGGCCAAGGCACAGGGATTGCACAGGACCTGTCCTAGGACCTGCCCTGCCCCAGCCCCACATCCACTCTCCTGTGGGATATCACTGCAAGGGAAGGGGTGCTGAGTTGGTGGTGACAAACAGGAGAGGCAAGCAGGGAAAATGGTGAGAAACTGAGACTGGGTGAGGGATGGGAGAGAACTTTTATTTGAGAAAGCTCCTTTGACCAGAGAGCAGCTCTTTGGCATGAAAAAAAATCTGTGCATGGGGATCTAAATCAAGCCCCTGGGAGGGATGTAACAACCCAGGGTGCTGGATTGTGCCAGATTCTGCAGTTCATTGCTTTTATCTCACAGATGCAGGTTTTGGTCTCTTGGTAAAACACCCTGGAGCACCAGCAGGTGCACAGTGAGCCCACAAAGCAGGAGCAGAAACAAGCAAGGAGTGCACTAAACTCCTCTGAGGAACTGTCACTCGTGTGTTTGAGGGTCCAGCAAGGGGACCCACCTCAGTTTTTCTGGCTTTCCCCAACAAACAGCTCGGACCCTCTGGATGCCCTGAGCCAGGCAGAGGCTGTGCTCACTGGCAGCTGGTGTCAGGCAGCAGAAGCACCCCCCCGAGGAGGGCCATGGGGGTCTGTCCCCAGGCGACGACGTCCCCCGGGGGCTGCCCTGCCTTGCACAGCGCCAGCGCGCGAACCTCGGCGGCGCCGAGCACGCGGCTCCACAGGTTCACCTGGCTCATCCAGCCCGCAAACCCGTTGGAGAAGGTGCCAAGCAGGCTGTCCCTGTCCTTGCCAAGGAGCAGGGTCCCCCCAGGCCGGCTCACGTAGCCCTTCTGGACGCTCTTGGCTTTGCCAGCTGCTCCGTTGAGCCAGAGCTTGGCCGTTCCCTCTGGGGACGCCCAGGTCACGCAGTGGTGCAGCCAGCCCTGCGCCTCCTGCTGCAGGGGGAAGCTCAGGAAGTGGCCTCCCACCCACAGCCCCAGCTCCGTGCCCACCGTCACCATCAGCTCGTGGTCACTCTCCCCAGTGGAGTAGGACAGGATGGTCTGGCTGCCCACGGGCTGGGCTCTGCTCCAGAAACACAGCGTGAAGGCTTGCAGAGACACAGCACGGAGGGGATGAACCTCCACAAAGCTCTCAATGTTTTCCACGGGGAAGTAGAAAGCTGGGAAGGTGCTGGATTTTGTACCTGAAATAACCCAAAAGCCAGCAGTTACATTTCCTGTAAACAAGCCCAAATTCTGGAGGGTAACAGCCGCAGAGCTGGGAGGGCTGTGTGGTCTGGGTGTTGTTACTGCTGTGTGTTGTGCCAGCAGGGAAGGGGATTGGAATGATGAAAAGATGAGCTGAGCTCCCCCACCCAAATGTTTGGGAAAATCATGGTTTTCCCTCCTTCTCCCTCTTCCTCCTCATGCTGTATAAAATAGAGGTGATGGTTATTTATCCTGGGGGAACTGAGCTGAGCATTTTTACTGTCTGTAAATATGTGTTCCCCTGTGGCAGGAGAGAGCTGCAGCTGCTGTGGGAGTAGCTGGCTTAGGGCTGGCCTTGATGATGGTGAAGGGTTTCCATCAGCAGGCCCAGACATGGCACAAAACTCTACCTGTGTGTGCCAGTACCAAACCTGTCAATGATTTGGGCCACCAAGCTCAGCAGGGCTCTTCATCCTCACAAGGTGAGCTGGACTCAGCCTGTGTTTCTTACCTGTGTGGCTCAGCCCATTCAGCAACTCTGTCTTCATGTCCTGGAGCTGCATCTGGATTTGATCCAGCCTGAGGGTGAATTCCTCTGGATGGCACTGTGCTGGAGCAATCAGAGAACTGACTTTACAGAGGGCTGGGACCTGCACAAGCTGCATTTTCCAGCTGGAGCCAAAGCTGCATTCCAAACTGCAGCTCCTCTCCTCTGTGTGGCTGCCCAGCCAGAGCTGTTCCCACATGCTGCAAGCACCAGACACAGCCCAGCTGAGGGTCCTGACGTGGTGCCAGGCAGCACCAGCTACCCTGGAGGTGTGACACTCAAAAGGCAGGGCTGGCACACACCTTAAACAAGGGGTGCCAGGCACAAAGGACACCTCCACCCGAGCAGGGACACTGCCCTCCCAGACAGGGGATTCCAGCCTGTCCAGCCCCAAGGGCTGGCAGTGCCACAGCCTCCCCACGGGTGTTTGTCCCCCTCAGTGTCCCCTGGCCCTACCCTGGTCCTGCTGGGCTGGGAAGGAGGCCTCCACCACGCGGCCCCGCAGCGGCTGCGCGTGCCGGTAGTCGTTGCGCAGGGTGAGGTTGTGCCAGTCCAGCAGGGTGTTCTCCAGGAGCTGGACCTGGCACAGGGACAGGGACAAACACAGGGCATGGTGGCGTGGGGACATCACTCAGGGCATGGGGACATCACAGGGACAGGGACAAACACAGGGCATGGTGGCGTGGGGACATCACTCAGGGCATGGGGACATCACAGGGACAGGGACAAACACAGGGCATGGTGGTGTGGGGACATCACACGGCGCATGGGGACATCACTCAGGGCATCACTCAGGGTATGGGGACATCACAGGGACAAGGAAAAACACAGGGCATGGTGGCATGGGGACATCACACAGGGCACAGGGACATCACACAAGGACAGGGACAATCACAGGGCATGGTGGGGAGGGGACATCACTCAGGGCATGGGGACATCACACAGAGCACAGGGACATCACTCAGGGCATGGGGACATCACAGGGACAGGGACAAACACAGGGCATGGTGGCGTGGGGACATCACTCAGGGCATGGGGACATCACAGGGACAAGGAAAAACGCAGGGCATGGTGGCATGGGGACATCACACAGGGCACAGGGACATCACACAAGGACAGGGACAATCACAGGGCATGGTGGGGAGGGGACATCACTCAGGGCATGGGGACATCACAGGGACAAACACAGGGCATGGGGACATCACACAGGACACAGGGACATCACACAGGGACAGGAACATATACAGGGCACAATGGCATGGGGACATCACTTAGGGTATGGGGACATCACACAGGGCACAATGGCATGGGGACATCACTCAGGGTATGGGGACATCACACAGGGCATGAGGAAAGCAGCTGTGCCTGGAGCTACAGTGCAGAATGGCACAGGGACATCACAGGGACATCACAGAGGGCACAGGGACAGCAGCTGTGCCCAGACCTGCTGCTCAGGATTGCACTGGGGATCAGACAGGAATGGAATCCTCTGGGTCTCTTGCTGAGCAGCAGCTGGAGAAGGAACAGGACTGAGGGCTCTTTTCAGCTAATTCACAATAATTCATTTTGCCTGGGAGTTCTGAGCTCCTGCCTGATGCCAGCAGGGATGGAGATTCTGCTGCTATTCTGTACCTTTCTCACAAGTGCCTTCTGGCCTTCCCCTGCCAAAAAGAGTATTTCTTTTTCAAAGAGAGCACACTGTGATCCCCCACTACTGTGGTCTCACTTTTATCTTTTTCTTCTCCTGGAAGAAAATGTTTCTGATGCTTCTTTATTATTTATTAACTTTAAAGGATTACTTTCTGTGAGTCTAGACATAGGAAAACCCTGAAATACCTTCTAAAATCTGCCAATTATTCTGTAATTATTTTAATGTTATGAACAGCTCTTTTTTGGTGGTTTTTTTTTTTTAATTAGGTTTTTTTTTCAGGGAGACTCTTGTAGTAGTTTTTGCCTTGCTAATTCTCACTGGTCTCTTCCTTTTTTATAGTGCTTCATGGCTGAGCTTAGCTGAGCAGTTTTGTTATCAGTCACCAGACCTGTCACCTGCTGCCATGCAGAATGACAGCCACCTGTAACTCCAGCTGCTCAGGAATCCCCCCAAAATCTCTGTGGGAAAGGTGCCCTCAGAGCTCCCTGTTCCCAAAATCCCTGGAGGACAGAAAGGGAGCCGTTCAGAGGGAGGAGGAGCTGGTGAGAGGCAGCACTGACCTGCGTGTGTGAGAGCACAACTGGGGAGTGGAAGATGGTCCAGATCACGCTCTCGGAGCAGGGCGGGGTGGTCAGGGAGCCCTGGTACCTGTAGAAGTGGGAGAGGTTTTCTGGCAGCATGGCTTGGATGTCCAGAGAGCTCAGCGTGGTTGACTGACCTCCAAAGGAAGCAGAGATGGTACCAGCACTTAATGGGGAGGGAAGGGAGAGGTGGAAGAGCTCTTGGAGCTGGGGTTGGCAAATCTCTGCCCACAGCACCGGCCCATCAGACCTGTGGTGGAGCTGGCTGGAGATGGAGGGGCATGAAAGGCCCTTTCTGGGTCTGTGGTCTGTCACTCAGACAGGTCTGGGTCCTGGGGGTGCTGAGCAGCTGCTCTCAGCACTCTGCCAGTCCCTGGGCTGCTCCAGGGGCTGTGCAGGCTGCAGGGAGCTGATATTTGGTGCTGCACAGATCCCCAGGAGTGCATTTATTGCAGCCCTGAGCACCTTCCCCACAGGCCCGGGCTGGAGTTGTGCAGGGCTGAGGATGCTCTGCCAGCACAGCAGCAGGAAAATGTCTGTTCCCAGAGCCAGAGTGTGCACACGGGCTGGGAGCATGCCAGGGACAGAGAAAGGCACTCCCAGGTCTCACCTGCAAACCTGATCCTCGCCAGTTTGGAAATGAATTCACTGTAGTAGGTGTTCTCAAAGTGCCCATCCTAAACACAGCACAGACACTTGATCAAAAGTTGTGACCCATATATGGGAGATACATATATATTTATATATAAAATACTACTTAAGGGGCAGTTTTCTGGGGCTCCCAAGGGGTTGGCTGGTGCTGTGTGAAGCCCAGATGGCCCAGGGGAAGCAGCACAGCCCCCTAAGGAGGTGCCAGACCCCATCTCTTGGGGCAGCTGTACAAACCTGGCCTGGGCTGCCCGTGTCTGAGAGAGGTTTTAGCTCAGCCAGTGCCCCCTGCCCCAGCCTGGGTCACACCTACCGAGTACAGGAAGGCCAGCACAGCCAGCCCCTGGGGCTTGTCTTTGGCTTCTTCAAAGCTGGAGTAGTTAGCAGAGTTGTAGTGGACAATGTGCAGCTGCCAGGAGAGAGATGGGGTCATTTAGCAAGAAGTGATGAGTGGCTCCTGCGTGTTTAGAGGGACACACTGAGGGGACAGTCACCACCCCAGTTTGTGCTGTTTGTGCCTCATAGCAGGCCAAAGGGACCTCTGGTTTAACAGGTTTGTGGTGACTGTGGGGGAACACCTCTGAAGGACACGAGTGCTCCTGCCATGGCTTTTCTTGGAGTTTTCTGCGCCAGCACTGTCAGGCTCAGCCCTCCCACTGCCCTGCTCTGCCCTGTGCCTCCCTGCAGGTTCTGTGGATGCAGCCCCCTCCCACTGCCCTGCTCCCCCCCTTGCCTCCCTGCAGGTTCTGTGGATGCAGCCCCCTCCCACTGCCTCCCTGCAGGTTCTGTGGATGCAGCCCCCTCCCACTGCCTCCCTGCAGGTTCTCTGGATGCAGCCCCCTCCCACTGCCTCCCTGCAGGCTCTGTGGATGCAGCCCCCTCCCACTGCCTCCCTGCAGGTTCTGTGGATGCAGCCCCCCTCCCACTGCCTCCCTGCAGGTTCTCTGGATGCAGCCCCCTCCGCAGGTCCCGTGGTGCCAGCCCCCTCCCACTGCCTCCCTGCAGGTTCTGTGGATGCAGCCCCCTCCCACTGCCTCCCTGCAGGTTCTCTGGATGCAGCCCCCTCCCACTGCCTCCCTGCAGGCTCTGTGGGATGCATCCCCCCTTTCCCAGTGAGCCCAGAGCCCCTCCTGCCCCCGAGCCCCCCGGACCTCGGCAAAGTAGCGCATGCCGTCGATGGTGTGCTCCGAGCCGCTGCTCTCCAGGTCCAGCCCACCCCAGTGCAGGTGCATCTGGACAGCTGTGTAGACACCTGGGAGCCCTCTGGAGATGTTCATGGTGGGTGGCAAATCGATCTGAACTGAAAAATGACAGGGTTGGAGGCAGCAGAGGGTGCAGCCGTGCCCATCCCTCTGGTGGCACCTCCTGGAAGGAGCAGGCACAGTCACCACCCCGGTGTGGGAGAGAAAACAGTGAACTTCAAAGCTTGAAACCTTTCCTGGGCTCAGGCTGGCACAGCACACCAGGCACAAGCAGGACTGGGCATCCCCAGCTGTACCTGCAGATCTTTCTCCCCCTGAGAGCTCTGGCTTTGGCAGCAGGCATTAATGAAAGCTTGGATGCTCAGCTCACCCAGCTCAGCACGCCTGGCACAGGTGTTAACCACTTCATTTCCAAGGCAGAAAAGGGGAATAGGAATCGACACAGCCAGTGGCCTCATCTGTAATCACAATTCCCAGTGAGGCCCAGCCATTCTGGGAACACCCTTAGGTTTGAAAAGGCTGTGTCACTGCTGAAGGATTTGTGGAGACAAACGTCTTCTCTTCTCCTTGCCAAGGAGAAGTCACAAACCTTTTGTCTTCCTGCTAATTCACTGCCAGAAATCATAGATTATGTTAATAAATATAGGAGTGCAAGTGGAGAATTGCCTCATCTAAATGAAAGCCCCCAGCATGTTACAAAAACTAGCAACTATCCTTGCAAAATGCAGCACAACATATTATTAATTAGTCATTGTTTGGGTTTCTGAGGAGTTTCTTTTTTTTGTGAACTGTTTATAGACAGACAAGACGAAAGCATGTTTCCTTTTAATATCCCAAAGGCTCTAGAGTGGGAGGGATAGCATAATCTACCTTTTTCATAAGTTCCCTGCTGACTGCCTTCCATAATGAGGGTTATTTACTTCAAGTACCTCACCAGGGTTTCTACTTTCTACAAAACACAGCCAGGGAATTGTGTTGTGAGTTTGTAACAAGCTTAAGGCTCCTCTAAGATATTCTAGGCAAATATTTGCTGCAAGCACAAGGTAGGGAGCAGCCTGGTTTGCTTCTGCTTTTCTCCCACGTGGAGTGTGGCTGCTCTGAGCTGGCAGTGCCTCCCTCCTGCTCTGCCCTGGCGGTGGAGAATCAGCTGGGCTGAGCAGGGTGAGTGAGCTGAGCCTTCCCCAGAGCTCCTGCCCTGCAGCTTGGCCTCTGGCCACCCCTGCCTGCAGGACAGCAGGCACAGCCAGCCTGCCTGCCCAGCCCTGGGAGTTAATGGGGCACGCTGGAGCTCCCAGTTAAATCTGCTCCTGGAGGAGGATGCACACATGGGTGACATTTAAATTTTGCTTGTCCTCACTACCAGCTGGAGGACCAACTTTCTTTAAAAGAAAAAGAAATTGCAGATTCAAAAGGCTTTGTTAAGCCCAGGCTGTCTGTGTGAGCACTCACACCACAGCAAACAGGCATTTTCAGGTGGGATCTAACAGCTCTACAGAAAAAATGAACCTGGTTTCCCGGGTGAGACATTTGGGGTTTGGTTCTGAGAGCCTGTAAGGAGAGTCCTGCTGGTAAATCCCTCTCCTGACCCTTTCAGATGTGCTGAGTGCTCTCCCTGAGAGATTCTGCTGCCCTGTCCCATCTCACTGAAGGCAGTAGAAAAGCCCAGCCTGCCTCACAGGAGCTGTGAATAGGCACAGTCGTTTGTCTTTGTGCTTTAGGAAACTGCCCCGCTTCAGAAAAGCATTGTTGGGAAGTTAACAAAAGAATGGACAAATACACACATGCAGTCAAAAAAGCTAAACCTGCAAGAATTAATGTCTAGGCAGGCAGGGCAGTAGTGCTGACAGAGAGCTCCGGGCTGAGCGCTGACTTGGTGAGGGCCACACAAAAGGAGTTCCAGTTTTCAGGAGCAGTCACAGCAGCCTTCCTCTGCTGGCACTTTGGCCCCCAGCCCTGCACTCCCTGCCCTCACACCGGACTCCTCTCTCTTTGTGGCAGGCAGGAAGAAAGAGCTGCTGTGCAGACTCAGGAGCAGACAGCTTTATGTTCCCAAACCTTCCCAAACCGCTCATCCTCTCTCCCCTGCAGCCATCAGGAATTCTCTCACTGCTCATCTGTAGTCCAAAGGCGTTATCCCAACAGTACCAGCCGATGAATTATTTAGGCAATGAATTACAGATTGCAGCAGGGGGATCTGGGATCTCCTAAATTATAAGCATTGCCCTGAAATTGTGTAGCCAAAGGCCGGGCTTTAACATGTGCTGTGCTTCACTTTCCTTTCCTGAGCTCCAAAATTCCAATCCTCTGGTGAGGGGGGGATCCTCCCCTGCGTTGTACTTAGGGTGACCTACATCCCACCAAACCTGGCATGCAAAGGTTCCATTCCTGTCACTTCTGATTCATGCACAGGCCAAAAGATGCATTTTTCTGAATGCAGAGGAGTCAGTGTGCCCCAAATACCACTCACTGCTGCTCTCCTGTTGTCTTGCAGCACATTAAAGGAAAGGATCAATCTGGAATTCTCCAGCTGCATTTTATCCCCTTTTCATGTCCAACAGAGAAAATACCTTGCAGAAACCTAACTGCCTTTTATTTGTCTGATTTATTCATGTATTTCTGCAGAGCTTTCCTGCGTGCCTGAGGAAAACAGCGAACCTAAGGGAGCAGAATGAAGCGAGACGGCAAAGTAAGGTGAGTTCAAAACAAGGGCATGGTCTGGGAATGCATTCCCACAGCTGAAACAAAAGGTCTGTTCCTGGAGCCTTACCAGAGTGGCCGTTGTTGGTCATCCTGAGCTGCCCCTGCAAGGGCCCATCGTAGCCACCGAGCTCCAGCTGCAGCAGGGGGTTGAACTTCACTTTCCTCCTCTGGATGTCAATGGGGGATTGCTGCTTGCCAGCACAGTCTGGGAAGTGCTGTCCCCAGTGCTCCTCATCCAGCTCTCCTTCTCCTGGAGGGGAGGCAAGGCAGGTGACAGGGATGTGCTGTCTAATTATTGGAAAGCCAGGAGCTGCAGCCATAACGGGTTGCTTTGCCTTCCCCAGAGTGAAAATGCACATTATTGTGTCTGCAGGACAACTGTGCTGTAAAGTAAGAAACCTGCATTGCAGCAGCGGCTCGGTGATGGCTGCATCTCCACCAAAAGAGGAGGGTGTTTACGTGGAAATAGGGATTTAAATGGGTCCCAGCTGCCAGAGGTGTGGAATTGGCTTCTTAACCAGCCATGAATAGGATCAGGGCAATAGGCAGGAAGGCTCAGCTTGGGATCAGGAACTGACAGCAATTAGCTATTTTTAACCAGGGACAGAGCGATTGCAATATTGCAACTCTTCAACAATATCCTTTGTTTAAGCTTAGCCCGCTGAAGATCATAAAAGGATTAACGCCTACTTCAGTGAGCTCTGCGAACAACTCCCTGACACAAATGAAATTTAGATAAAATTCCACCGAAAAAATTATAAATACCTAAATAAGTACTTCTTAGTGCTCTGTATTGCCTGGGATATGACAATAAAATAAGAAGCAGGCAGTATTTAAAGCTTTTCCTTGCAGGATCATCCAAAGGGCAGCTTTTCTTCTAACACACTCTAAAGATTTCCCCCATTGTTTGAACCTCGTTGTGCTGCCAACCCTGACAATGTGTCCTAACCACACAAAGGAGTAAAAAGAGGTGACATTGAGGAGAATCACTTTCACCACACCGCGGCATCAGTGAAGTGGAATAAATGAGCTGCTCGGTGACCTCTCACTAAGGGACAGCACAGAAGGGCAGGGAGCCTGTCCAGCAGCAGCAGCACCCCGTTTTTACCTTTGTATGTCCAGGACACCTCGTGGCAGCGGCTGAGGGGGGCCAGGAGCAGGAGGAGCAGGAGCGCTGCCATCAGCATGTCTGTGTCGTACCTGCAGCACAGCAGGACTGGTTAAAAACCCCTGAGAAAGCCCAAATGCTGGTTTCTCCAGTGCCAGCAGCCCTCCTGCCCTTCTCCTCGCCCAGCCCCAGAAGGACAGGCAGTTTGGCTCTCTAAGCTGTCCCCACAGAGGGGACAGGACCCCGATGGCCAGAGCTGATGGCCTGGGGTCTGTGTGACCCCTGCACAGCTCTTCCCGTCCATTCATTCCTCATCAATGGGTTGAAAAGCTCCTCGCTGCAAGTGTGGGTACAACAGAGCTTTGTAAGCAGAAACACCCAGCCCAGACCTCAGGGCTGCTCCCCTTTGCAGGGCAAGGAGCAAGGCAGAAGGCATGCAGAGGACTGGATTTCAAAAGTGCAGAGCACTCACAGTCCTGCTAGAAGTCAAAACTGTAGATGCTTTGCTCTTCTGAAAACTGGAGACTGGGTTTAAAAGCACTCCACACTCCTGAGCCTTAGCATTCAAAGCATTTTGCTTTCCACACCTTCCCTCATCACTGAAAATCTAGTTTTGAATGGGAGAGATTTGAATCCTTTAAAAAATTCAGAGCTCTCAAAAACTACTTAGACTTGAAAGGTGCAGGAGACTGAAACCCTGATGGCTTTAAAAAAAAAACATGCAGGAATTCAAATAAAAACTAGCAGGTGGCAGGTGTCTAAATGCTCCTGTGGACTTCTGTATCTCTTCAGACACTTGATTTCCTTAAAAATGTGTCCCAAGCAAATACTTGTCTATGGTCCAGTAAAAGTCACTTGGCAGAACAGGGAACAGACCATGGATTCTCTCTCTGCCTTTTTGTATCCTGTCACCAGGCAAATGCCATTCCCTTTGAAAATCCTCCTCCTCCCTCAGGAATGACACACTGCTGGCAGCCCTTTCTTCCCAGCCATGGCCCCCAGCTCCTAACCCCGTGGTTTCAAAACAAAAGGGGAGCAGAATTCTCCCCAGGAATGGAATTTTTACCTTCTATGGAAAAGAACTAGAGATTCCAACAAAAGCAGCACAGCTGGGCTGTTGGTTTTAGGTGACAGGCAGCAATATTAAACACGAGGCAAGAAGGTGCAGATCAGTGAAATCTCAGCACTTCTGTTCCAGCGTCCCTGCCACTTGTAATAAAATTGGCAATTATTTTCAGGAACAAGGTGATTTTCAGCCACTCAGTGAGGTGGCAGCAACTGAGGTGAGTCTGGGGGTGAGGGTCAGGCTGAGCTGCACAGAAGGCAAGACCCAGTGTGGCAGTTTGGGGGGCAGGTTGGGGCAGTTTGGGGCAGTTTGGGTGGCAGTTTGGATGGCAGTTTGGGGGGCAGTTTGGGGGGCAGTTTGGGGCGGTTTGGGGG